GAGTACAATTTTTTATTGGCTAGATTCAATGTTTGGCCCATTGTGCGTCGTACTGATTTCAAGGATAAGTATCTGAATCTACAGGTGAAACTCACAAAATTAATCAATCAAATGTCATCTACTATCAAAAATTTAATTAAAGACAGAGAGCGTAAAATTACTGGATGTAAAAATAGAATACTTTAGTGGAGAGTACAGGAAATGTGGCACATTTTATAATTTGTTTAACTCTGATACATTCAAATGAAAAGTTGTCAAAGGTTGCAACATTCCTGTATTTAAAGACTTATTTAACCCTTTAACCTACAACAACGTGTCAGACTTGTGACAGAGATTCTGGTCAAGATATGACAAAAATAGTTATATTACTAAGAAAAATTAATTACAATCCTAACTTTCGTTTTAATTTATAAGATCAAGGATTCCTAACTGCAATTAATCTGTAACAGATTAGCTTTTGTTTACTGATACAGTGCTAAATGGCTGGCGTTTATATGCATAGTTAGAAAAGAAATCATAGGTTAAGGGGTTAAGAGGCAGAACTGCCAAATTGATTGAGTCCTTTGAAATTACTGATTCAAACTATGAGGTAGCATATCAATCTATTTTTTCTAAATATGAGGATTCAAAATTAATAATTCCAAACCATCTCAATGAAATTCTGAATATGAGAATAATTAAGAAGGATTGAGCCTGTGAATTAGTAAACATAGTTGATGAGTTCTAGACACATGTGAGAGTATTAAAGTCTTTGAAGTGACTAGTTGAGCACTGGGACATTATGTTAATACACATATTATCAAGTAAATTTGATGCAGAATTAAGAAAGGTCTGGGAAACTATTGCAGCTCAATCAGAAACAACTATCTTTGACCAACTTATTGAATGTCTACGCACTAGGTGCAAGATACTGGAAATAGTCAATAATGATTTACCAAATACAATTAAATCTGATTCTGATTAAAGAAGATATAATGAAAGACATACAAAGGTATATGTTGCCACAAGCAGTCTAGTATGTGTACTTTACAAAGCAGTTCATCATGTCATGAAATGCAAGGAGTTTCTAGATGTGACAGTGGATCAAAGATGTGAGAGGATTAGGAAACTAAATTTATGCTACAATTATCTGAGCCCTGACCAGATGGTACAAAATTGTGGATTATGTTTATATCAAAAGTGTAACAAACGACACCATACACTGTTGCATTAATCAAAAACTAATGTAGAGAAACATATATTACACCCAAGCAAACAACAAGAGCTTAAAGTAGACAGTGCGGAAATCATACCACATGTAGGAGAACCTGTAGTAGCAGCAACACAGCCAATTGATCAATGTAATTTTAGTGCAAGTAGTAGAACGCAGATTTTGTTGGAAATTATTGTTCTATGGACATATGATGCTTTTGGTAATAGACAACAATGCAGAGCTCTACTTGATCCAGGTTCACAAATCAATTTCATATCAGAATTCATGTATCAATGATTAAAGCTGAAACAAGAAAAGGTGTATGCTTCAGTCGTGATCATCACAAGAATATCACAAGAAGTGATAACCATAAAATATAGAACTAATGCCACTATTCAGTTAAGAGAGTCTTGTTAAAGCTGTCAAAGCAATAAGACGTGTTTACAAGAAGTGATCAACTGTGTTGTGTACATGAATCTGTATACAGGGTGCATCTAGTAATTGTGCCCGATTATAACTTTGTTCCTTTTGCTCACACTGTTTGATGCTTGAGCTTGATAAACAATGCAAAATTTTTCTCTACAATTTTTTTCTATCTGCAAAAGGAACGAAGTTATAGTCTAGCCCAGTTACTAGATACATATGTACAATCGTAGGTGTAGGTTTGAACCGAGCCAATGGTACTCTTGCCACCTGGTAGGAATACTACGTATTTTAAAATAGCACAAACTAAAAATATATAACTTAAGATTGCTAATAGTGGAAAACATTACGTTATACACAATAAAACCTGGAAAGTGATAACAGCTTAAATTGGGAAAATTAATGGAAATCGATAGACCGATAGTTCTAAGCAAAAAAAAAAAATGTAAAATCATGCCTCCTGCTAATTCGAACATTGGTAACACTGCTACAGATGAAGATGAAGATAAATGGTTGACTAACCTAAAAACCTATACAAAATTAAAAGACCCATGTTTAGGTTCCGAGCTGGTGAACACTGTAAGAAGTTTTACTGTATGTCGGTTTGCAATCGAATTCTACGGATGTTGTTTTGCCACGCACATACGTCGAGATTTGTGGTGAGAACAACAAATCTAGCGGAGGTCGTAAATCTTCTCTTCGATTATTATCACGTCGCGTGTTAATGGCTCCCTATGACTTCGTTAAGAAATAGGGATGATTATTTAAGAATTTGGATGTCCTGACTTCTAATGTACTCAATATATTATTTTCTATACAACTATTTAACAAATATGATGATTTAAAATTACGATGTTAGTTCCAAACGCGAGGTGAAAGGGATGGTGATTTTAATGGTTGTTGCTGGGTGATGGTTGATGGTAGACTGATCTAAGACACTGATCGTCCAAACTTCCAAGACAGTCAGAAAGCTCTAAGAGTTGTCTGTTTTTTGATTGGCGATTGACAGGAGCCATTTCAAATCGGGTGAAAATTGCCACCACTCTGTTCCGTGCGCCCTTGGTGCGTTCCATGAGGAATAGGGGGTGGTGTGTGGAGGTGGAAATGAAAATGAGAAACCTTGGCAACGTCGCGGAATTTCCGCTGGGCCTGGTACCTGCAACGGGGTCAGCTATGAACCAGCTAGGTACTATCGACCCTCGCGCAAGTCCCTTTAGAAATTCACGTTTTATGACACGGACAATTGGCTGTTGAGCGCGTCGCCAACGTATTAAGAAACCCAATTCTAAAGAAATTTAAGAAACAAGACGATTCCTCAAAAACAGCTCTTGAACTTGTGTGTCATGAAACGTGCTAGCCATCTGCGTGTCGAGGGTTTTCTTTTGTGCAAATTGCTAGTCGCTACGGCCTGCAGGACGTCTTAAAATTACGGATTAGAAATATTAAATATTAATTGGTTAAGGGTTTTATTATTCCGAGGGTTCTCTGCGGAACAGATGTGTTATCAAGTGTTTTGAGACCAACCTAATTGAGTGCATATGATCTTTGGTGGTAGGGACCTCAATTTATACGAGACAATGTGTATGGTTCGTGTGCAATTGTTGATCACCAAATAGTTGAGTCTGAGTTACCTGAATATTGTGAGGCCAAGGTCGTTTTTACCGTTAATCCTAGTCAGTCATCACACCTTTTGTTGAGATATTCTAGCTATACCAAATTATTAAGAGTGGTCGCGTTATGTTTAAGATTTTGGACTAATTACAGTAGAACCTCGGTAGTTGCATGAAATGGGACTGAAAAGCCTGCAAGTATCGAGGTTCTTGGAACTATCGAGGTAACCAATCCACTGTATGAAATCTCCCACTTCTACTATGTCTCCACCCAGATCCGTAACTACTTACGTATTACTGCCTGCATATATTGTATAGGTACTCGAAATATCATTAATAATTAATATTATTAGTAAAGAATTGACGGATAATGAAAATGCGTGTTACTGGGTTCAGCAAAGTACCCACACGGTAGTCCGGTGAAGCGTTTATTGATATAAGTGTTTTAGTTCGGGAGGTTCGCGCTAGACTGACCTGTCGCCTCGCCTTTTTCCAACTAACTTTTCGTCGCCTTGTTAGTTTTCCTGATTGGACCCGTCGATGTTAGCCAATTAGGTAATTTTCTTCCAAGTCGCTGCGTGTCCCTTGCGCCCCTGGCGCGCTCT